ACTTTTCTGGAAATATACCAACTGCTGGTGGAAGCGCGTTACATCTTTTCAGTTCACACCTGATAGGAGGGAAGTGAACACCAGGACATGGTTCAGGCGGTTCACTGCCGATGAGTCTTCCAGCCTTTGCTGCTGCCTGATCGTTCAGGTGGCTCACTGCAGATGCGTCTCCCGGCCTTTGCTGCCCTGCCTGATTTTGCTCCTCAGCCTCCTGGCTAGTTCGTGTCACACGTGTGAGCCACCGGTGCCACACCAACCTAAGTGAGATGCCGGGCGGTATGGAAATGCTGTCGTGCCCAGGACAAGACCGTTGGCAGCCACCGTGTGTCCAGTGGTCTGTTGGGCCCACTGAGCTACCTTCCCAGCTTTCATTACTGTCTTTGCACAAGTATCTTTTCAATCCATTCTCTGATGTACACAAAGCTGAGCACAGTGGTGCATGCCTGAGCTCCAGCTGCTCAGGAAGTTGAAGAGGGAGGAATGTAACTTCGTATTTATTCCTTTCTTTTCCCCGGAGACTGGGACTCAAACATTGTATCTGACACTTTTGTTCATTGGCTGGTACTCTACCACCTGAGCCACACAACCAACTCCTTATTCTTTTTAGGAAAAAGATTTAAGCATAGACACCATGTCTTGATTGGGCATAAAGTGCTCAAAGATCACATACCTCACCAGGCGCCAGTGGCTCACACCTGTAAGCCTAGCTACTCAGGAGACTGGATCTAAGGATCACGGTTCAAAGCCAGCCCGGGCAGCAAAGTCCTGTGAGACTCATTTATTTTTCAGTTGGTCATGGGGCTTGAACTCAGAGCCAAGGAGCTGTCCCTGAGCCTCTTTGTGCTCAAAGCTAGTGCTCTACCACTTGAGCCACAGTGCCACTTCCAGCTTTTCAGTGGTTAATTGGAGATAATGAGTCTCACCTGGACTTTTCTGCCCAGGCCGGCTCAAACTGTGATCCTCAGATCTCAGCCTCCTGAATAGCTAGGCTTTCAGGCGTAAGCCACCCAAAACACCAGTGGTGCTACGACTCAAGTGGAAGAGCGCTAGCCTTGAGCACAAAATTGCTCAGGGACAGTGCCCAGGCCCTGAGGTCAGTCTGTCCTTCCTTCCTTCCTTCCTTCCTTCCTTCCTTCCTTCCTTCCTTCCTTCCTTCCTTCCTTCCTTCCTTCCTTCCTCTAGAAATCCCATACCTCTGAATGCTGGAAGCCAGGTCATTTCTGGAGGAGCTGCGGGGATGCGGCTGAGGCTGGGTGAAGGGCCAGCCTCCCCCAGGCGGCTCAGGACAGGTCGCTGTCACTACAGAGAACTTGGGAGCTTTCCTGCCTCAGTTCACAGCTCCATGGTCCCACAAACCCTCTTGGGCTGTCCTCTGCCCTGGCAGAGTCCCTAAGCTCCCGTTTTCCACGGGGTCCGCTCCGGCAGAGCCCTGCCCCCACCCAGCCCCGCTCAGGAAGCGGAAGGCTGGCGTGGCTCTGTGCCTTTGTCACCAGAGCCCTCCCTGCCTCTGCCAAGGAGCTGGGGGGCGGGGGGGCACGGGGGGCACTTCTGCAGCTCTGCTGAGGACGGAGCTCCCACCGCCAGCCTGGCTCTCTGCAGTGGACAGCGGTGGCCACTGCCCACGTGGCACAGACCTCTGGGAGGATCTCCCCGGTGAGGAGCCCTGCCCCCCCCTCCTAAGGGGGCTCCCCTCGGCCTTCCCAGCCCACCGCCATGGTCCCCAAAGCTGTCTCGCTGCCGGCCTGCATTGCTAGAGCTCCACAGGCCCGAACTCAAACGCTGCGCCGCCGGATTGACACGGGCCTCATTTCCCCAGGTGCGCGAACACGCCTCCCCGCAGGCCTGGCCGCAGGCCGCTCATCCCAACCCCACCTGGCCAGGGCACGGGCCCCCAGCGCGACATTCCATTCCCGACCTGACTCCAAGCACCCGGCCAGCCCCTGAGGAACTACCGCCTGATTTTTACTCCTTTATTTCCTTGTTAAGACCCGTCTAAGCCGGACCCCACATCCACCTCCTCAGCAACCTCCAGTCCCCGGGGAAGGTTAGGCCCCTCGCTGCGCCTCAGTAAGCAGTCCCAGCCCGTGGAAGATGGAGTCCGGCTTTTCCCCTTCTCCATTTTCCTAACGCTGCCCTGCTTTGCCTTGTTTATGTGTTGTGCACTGTGTAGCCAGGGACTTCAGCCAGGCATGGACTCCTACAGGGGACCTCCGGCTAGCTGCTGGCTGCAGACTGCCGCTTCGCCTCCCCCGGCGGCCCTCCCATCCCTCTGTATAGAACTGTGTCCTAGTCTCTATTTTTCATTTTTCACCTGGAACTGAGGCTTGAACTCAGGGCCTGGGCACTGTCTCATAGCTTTTTCACTGAAAGCTACACTCCACCACTTGAGCCATACCTCCACTTCAGATTCTTGCTGGTTAATTGGAGATAACCGTCTCTCATGGTTTTTTCTACCCTGGCTGGCTTTGAACTGTGATCCTCAGATCTCAGCCTCCTGAGTGCTAGGGTTATAGGTATTAGCCACTGGCGCCTGGCTTTCCTTCCCATCTCTTTTCCTGCTTTCTTAGGGACCACACACGGCTGGCTCTATGTGCAGCCCCCTCTCTTGGGGCAGATGCCCCAATCCCAGTTTCCTAGCTTCTGACCTTGAAGGAACAGGGATCTGAAACCCAGCCTTGAAGACTTGAAGTAGGGTAGCAGACCTTTGTCCCTGCCAAAGGGCCAGATCAGACTCTGTCTCCCTGTTAGCAAAATGAGTCCCTTCCCATAGCCTAGTCCACTCCTTCCCTTCTCCACAGCTTAGCATGCTCCCTTCCTAGGCAACACAGTAAAGGCAGTAAATAATCAACTTCCAGCCCCCTTCACTCGGGATGGCACTTCTCTGGGCAGCTATGGATGAGAGGCCTTAGCCATTCTGGACTTAGACTCCATTGTGAAGGCCTTTACTGAAAGTACCCATGTTCCTGGAAAAGCTGCGAAATGTCCCAATAACTTCCCTAGCCACAGCCATCAGCGGATGACAGGAAGGCACCTAAAGCTCCAGATGTTTCTTAAGGTAGCATAGTTAACACAGTTTGCTGCTTACTGCTTAGCCCGTGCACACTAGCCAATAAGACATTACAAGATTCACTCACTAAATGTCAACCAATCATGTAACCGCTAAGTTAGAAACCCCCTACCCTTGCTGTCACCATAATAAAACCCCTGCTACACTGGAAGTCAGGGCTCTCGATCTAGATCCGCTGCGTCAGTGACGGTCGGGAGTCCAGGGTCGGAGCTGGCAATACATGACTCTCATGTTCCTGCATCAGAATCAGCTCCATGGTGGTCTTTGGGGATCCTTCTCTGGGGCAGCTACCCCCATAGAAGGCAACAGGAGCCCCTTCGAGTGACCTCAGGTCTGGGCAGCTGCAGGACCCTTCTCTACTATTTGAGCAGCATGCATCCATCCTAGTCTTCCACGATGAAGCCCCTGGCCCACATGTCCACACTGGGGTCTCCACCCCCTAGCCCCTTCCAGCCCCTCCTAAACCTCCTAGGTTATATAGGTCACCCCAGACAATAGCCTGTGCTGCTTCTCACTTCTGCCTTGTGAGAAGGACTCTTGCCGGTCCCTTCCCCGGCAATAAACCTTTCTTTGTTCTCTGTACCTGGATGTCTGTGTGGTTCTCTGGCCAAGTCTAATAATCTTTCATTTCATCTTTCACTCCCCCTCCCCAGAGCCAGGCTTTCTGGGGGCTGCGGCATAAAAGTGGCCTCACGGTGGCCTAGGAAGCCTCTCTCCAGTGTCCTGAAGGGCTGGAGGCAAGCATGCCAGTCACAGCCCTGCCGACCCAGCAGGGAGCCCACAACCTCCAGCTGATCTATAATTGAGCTCTCTTTAGTGGCTTCCCGCGGGTGGCCTGCTGAGAGCCTGCCTCCGCCCAGCCAGGCCGGCCCTTCCTCAGAGCCTTTATTGAGGCGAGGTCATGACTCAGAAGGAAAGAGTGTTGGACGTGGAAGATTTGCCTGTGGCCAGTGCAATACGAGCAGCTCCTCAGCCAGCACTCCCTCCTGCCGGGCAGGAGTGCTGAGGGCAGACAGGGAGATAGTATTCTTCAACAAGTAACCAAGGGCTCCAACTCAGAAGGTAAAACTCGGAAGTAAACTATCAAAGCAGTTCGGTTTCCCACCCACCATATTTCCTTTTTAATGTTCAGTTACAAAATTGAGAGAGACAGAAGAGATTGTCTAAATCTGCCTTTGCCTTTGAAATGGCAAATCTGGGAACTCTCTGAACTTGTAGAGACAGAAAGAATAAAAGGCCTGTCTGGAAGGAGGGGGGCCCTGCGGGTAGCGGCCGCGCGGGGCTCTCCCATCTTACCCGCCCAGAACCCCAGTGGGAGGATGAGTTGTGGCTGGAGTGATTTGGGTGTGCATTCACCTAGCTCAGGAAGGATTAAAGTTCCTGTGCCCATGCGTGGCTTGTGCCGAAAATCCTAGTTACTCGGGAGGCTGAGCTCTGAGGAGCGAGGTTCAAAGCTAGCCTTGGTAGAAAAGTCTTCGAAGACTGCCATCCCCAATTAACTAGCAAAAAGCTGGAAGTGGAACTGAGGCTTAAAAAAAAACAAGCGGTGGCCACACCTGCAGCTTTTCCCACTTGTACGTCCCGAACGGAGACCTCCGCATGGGTCAGACAGAACAGAGTTTATGGGGTGGGGGAGCAGACCCCCAGCCTGCATGAGACGGAGGTGTGCAGAAAAGGAGAGGAGAGGGCCACGCGTGGCCGGCGCCTCGGGATCCGGAAATACAAGCTGGCCTGCGGGAAGCAAGCTTCCCTCACACAGCCTGCCTTCATATCATCTTCACGGAAATAGCCTAAACTCGAGAGACTACCTTGTTTCTGTTCTGTTCCAGCAGTAAAGTGATAACATCCCAGAATTCCGCCAGGGCCAAAGCCTGTGACGATGGCCAGGCAGGCCTCACCTGTGACCTGCCACAGTGTTAACGCTGAGTCCTACCTGCTCACCCCTGCCCCTGTGTCAGCGCAGCCAGTGTCGCACCTCTGGAGACCCCTGGAGAGGTGCCGTCTTCCATGTTGTCCTTTCTCTGTCCTTCACCACGTCTCTTTAGCAGGCACTGGCGCAAGTCGCCAGGTCTAACTGGAGAGTCCCGGCCTTTGGACCTGTCTGAGTGCGGCGGGGTGGCGGGGTGGTGGGGAGGGGGGTCAGCGACTCCAGGTCCTGGGCATCATAGCCCAGACCGGTATTCCAGCAGAGGGAGGGGATGCACCAAGGCCAGGTGCGGGGAGCGAACGGGTCCCTGCAGACCAGGGGAAGCACACAGCATAGAGTGAGACCCTCCCACAAAAGTAACTAACAGCGGCAAGCCCTGAGATCAAGCCCTACGACCCACAAAAAGAAAAAAGAAAAGGAAATGCTCAACATCCCTGTCCATAAGCGGACATTAGATCTCACGTCAGCCACAAGAATGGACATCATCAAGAGCACAGAAAACAAATGCTGGCACGGATGCTGCCACCAGGAAACCCTAACACGCTGTTTGTGGGAACGTACACTTGTTCAACCACTCTCTGTAAGAAAGAACGATACTGTGCTGTTGAAAAGGAAATGGAAACTGGGCGCCAGTGGCTCACGCCTGTCATCCCAGCTACTCAGGAGGCTGAGATCTGAGGATCACAGTTCAAAGCCAGCCAGAGCAAGAAAGTCTGTGACACTCTTATCTCCAATTAACCACCAAGAAACCAGAAGTGGTGCTGTGGCTCAGTGGTAGAGCACTACCCTTGCATGCCTGAGGCCCTGGGTTCGATTCCTCAGCACCACATAAACAAAAAGAAAAAAGCTAGAAGTGGCGCTGTGGCTCAAGTGGTAGAGTGCTAGCCTTGAGCTGAAGAGCTGAGGGACAGCGCCCAGACCCAGAGTTCAAGACCCACGACTGACCAAAAAAAAAGTAAATGGAAAGACTTGAGAAAAATTCTATTAAATGAAGTAAGACAGACCCAAAGAAATGGATACACCCAAGAGGGGGAATAGAGGGAAGGAGTTCAGGGTGGATGAATGAAAGGGGCAGAGGGAGCCAGAGGGCAGTCAAGCATTCATTGTAGCCAGGCACTGGTGGATCACGCCTGTAGTCCAAGCTACTCAGGAGGCTGAGATCTGAGGATCACGGTTCAAAGCCAGCCTGGGGAAGGAAAGTCCGGTAGACTCTTATTTCCAATAAACCACCAGAAAACAGGAAGGGGCGCTGTGGCTCAAGTGGTAGAGCGCTCACCTTGAGCTGAAGAGCTGAGGGACAGCGCCCAGGCCCAAAGTTCAGACCTCACAACTGACAAGAAAGAAAGAAAGAGGGGGGGAGGAAGGAAGGAAGGAAAGAAAGAAAGAAAGAAAAAGAGAGAGAGAGGAAGAGAGAGAGAGAGAGCGCATGACCCCATCATTGGCACGCAGCACTGGGTGGTATGGGTTTGTGTCCTGACCAGGCCAGGGCTCCACAGGGGTTCTGCCCTCCCTGCCATACTTGAGGTCTTCCCATCCTGCTGCCTTGCTCCTGCTCCTCTGGAGCCTTCTCTAGCCTCTGTAGGTAGTTCAAGACCCCTGCCCAGCAGATACGGCAACTGGGCCCCACCCACCTGATCTGAGTCAGTGTTTGGGTGCTCTGTGCCGTGTTTGGGTGCTTGGAGCTGTGTTTGGGTGTACTGTATCAGTGTTTGGGTGCTTGGAGCTGTGTTTGGGTGCTCGGAGCCATGTTTGGATGTTTGGATTCATGGTTGGGTGCTTGGAGCTGTGTTTGGGTGCTTGGATTCGTGTTTGGGTGTTCTAAATCATCCACACCTGGTATCGGCAGGCAGCCCTTGCACCTGTGACACAGGCCCCCTGGGCCCGGGCAGGGCAGGCCTGTGTCTGGGACCAGAGGCCGTCCCTGGGGCGCAGCTGCTTAGCAATGGGCACTGTTGGAGCTTGTTGTTCCGGAGCGGCTCTCCCAGCGTCCAGGAAACGTCTAGACTCAGCGGCCTCAGAGGACATGATCTCACCGCACACTCAGGGCAACAGACAAACAGGAACTTGCCGTGAGGGGACAACTCTGCCGGGACCCAGGCCCTCCTGTCAACAGAGGCAGGGGCCAGCCACGGAGGCTGGGTTCCATCCAGCGGCCTCACTCAGACATGGTTCCATGCTTGATGCTTCAGTTGTTATGCATGGGGTTGAATGCAAGAATAGAGCCAAATGTCAGCTGGACACTGGTGGCTCACACGTATAATCCTATCAACTACTCAGAAGGTTGAGATCTGAGGATCAAGGGTTCAAAGCCAGCCCAGACAGGAAAGTTCGTGGGACTCTTATCTATAATTCACCACCAAAACTCTGGAAGTGGAGCTGTGACTCAAGTGGTAGAGCACCAGTGAGTGAAAAAGCCAAGGACAGGCACTCAGGCCCTGGGTCCAAGCCCCAGTACCAGTACAAGCACAGACGGACAGACAGACAGACAAGCAGACAGACAGACAAACACACACACACACACACACACACACACTAAACCTTGCTCTGTGCTTTGTTGGACCTAGCATGCGGGAAGCCCTCGGGCCTAAAACTCCGGCTTGATTTTGTAGGATCATGTGGTCATTCCGATTAATTTTTGGAGGAACTGCCACATTGTCTGTGATTCATTTTTGCTAACATTTTGCAAAAGATCCTTTATGAAGGAAAAGCCACACAGCGGCAGGGGGTGACGTGTCTGGCCTGAGGCTGTGGAAGGGGCTGTGTGCTCAGGCCCTGCTGCTGCTGTCTGAGGATGGCTGCTGCCTTCCTGGGCATCCTAGAGCTCGACCCAGAGCTGACCAGGGGTGACCCAGCCCTGCCTTCCCAGCTCCCTCACGGCCCCCCAGCCCTGCCTTCCCAGCTCCCTCACGGCCCCCCAGCCCTGCCTTCCCAGCTCCCTCACG